ATGTCCTCAGTCATGTGAGAACCTTGGTGCTCAGCCTGAGGGTCTGACGATTTCAGAATTGGACCCTTCACTGCCAGCTTGGGGTTTGATCCTAAGAACCTGGGGTTCTATCCTCCTAACATCAAAGGAGGCTTGGTCTTTGAAATGAAGAGGAAGTAGACTCTCCCTTTCTTGCTCCATACTGTCTGAAGTATCCTAAAAGCCATTCTGAGGGTAAGGACTGAAGCAGGCTTCTCCTGAAATCTGCTTCCATCTCCTGCCATGCCTCCCACCAGCAAGGCGAGGGAGATGCAGAATGCAAAATGCATCTCCGGCTGCTGGGCAGTAAACCACCCATGGGTATTCTTCTGAAGGTTTTCTGCACAAAAGCTGCAGAAAAATTGAGATCAACTGTGATCATAACTTGTCTTTACAGCAGCCCTGTTAGCAAAGAGCAGCAACACTGAACAACACATACATACCTACGGTTTTCTAAAGTGATGGTTATGTCAACCACACCATCAGTCTGAGCAGGAATGCTTCGGCAAGCTCCCTTGTACTGCACTTAGTCCCCAAGGATGTTGTGGGGGATGGGTGTTAACGCACCATGAAGCAACCACGTCCAGGTGGATCTCCGGAAGCTTCTCCCTGACCTGAGGCATTCCCAGGCATTTCAGTCTCTTTCAGCCTACTGATCACTGTTACTCGGAGAAGACTCCCTCATTTTTTGTAAGTCAATATAGAGACTGTGGGTCTTAAAGCAACTTCTCTTAGGTGTCTCCTCCTTGCTCCCCAACAGAGGAGGTGGGGGGAAGTATCTTAATGCCAGGCATGGTGGGTAACATTGACCATCAGGGCAGCAGGTTCCCCACCACTGCCAGATTCTGAAAACCCCAGAGATATTCTGGGACACAGAGACATCACTCCAACAAAGGAACAGCAGTCATTTTGCTGAAAATGAAGACTGGTGGACTCCATACTTCTTTTTCTAGCTCATTCCTAGCTGTGAAAAATCCTACTCAAGTCATCTACCTCCAGGGCCACACCTATTTGTCCCTAAGATGATATTTCTCATTACTTGACTTCCACAGGTCAGATATTTGAAAAAATATAGCAAGAATGCGGAATACACTCAATTTCTATTTCCATATCAAACATATTTGACTTGCTCGGAGCCTAACTCAAAAATGGGGTTTGGACAGGTAGCCCAAATGCAAATGTTACTGTGTATCTAATTTGAGCAAAATTTTTTTATCTATAAAAAAGTCATTCATTTTTCAGAGCTCTAAGATCTTCTTGAATGTCAGGCAGAACTTTAATGGGTTACAGGTCACTGACGTGCCTCTATGTCTGGTTCCTGAGATATACATGGGATTTGGAATATGCTGATGCCTTTTAGACACAATTTGAAATGATTAGTCAAATCTTAATCATGGCCTAGCAAAGGGCTAGAAAGGCATAGCTAAGTCATGCCATGTAACCTGGATGATAAAGGCAGGAAGATATCAGAACTCTAAATGGAAGCCCACCACCTATGCCCAAGGAAAAGTCCTCTGCTCTGTGAAAACTAATTTAATCTCTAGAGGTGAACAGAGGTTCCCAGGAAATGTTAGTTGTTCCAAGCTGCCAGGACATTTCCCTTTCCTTCCTAAACCCTGCCTCTGGTCTTCACTATATTTGATCTGCAACATAACAAAGGGAAACTGGAAGGGGAAAAGAGGTACTTACCAGGAAACCTGTTCATCATAAATGAACTGTGAAAAAAATAAAAAGAGTGGAAGATTAGACACATATGCAAACACATGCAGGCCTTAGGATTGCATGTTTTCTGCCCCCATTGCTAGCTGGGGTATCAGGGCTGGGGTTGGCCTGGATCACAGAGCACATGTGAGTAAACTGCCTTCAGCTGGTTTAGTCTCTGGCTAGTGTTAGTGGAAGGAGATGGTGCTGGAAGACGGGTGGGCAGAGGGTAGAAAGGAGAAGCGTCAGGTCATCCATTCATCCTGTAATTTCTGTCCAACAGTGGAGTGAGAGGGAAGCCGGACCAGCCTGCTATGCTGAGCAGACACAGTGAAGAATCGGCAAGGGGATGTAGGAGCCTGGCAGGTGCTCCTGAACGTTAGTCCTTATGAGCCTCCTGGAAGATGTCTGCGGGTCTCTATGCACAGTACTGCACCTCCAAGCATTTATGCAAGCACCTGGACTTCTATGTACTCAATATTTTTCTTTCAGTCAACCTATTTTTTTGTTTCTTTAGAAGAATTTATTTTCAAAGGAGACTTTGCATCACAACCAGAAGTGGAGAATCAGCACCACTTGCCACCACATGTAGAAGGTGAAAAATAAATGCAGTAGCAATAGTCACTGAAAATCCGGGCTGGACTCTGTCAGCTGTCCAAGCCCTGGGCCACAGGCCTGCCCTTCTGTTAAAGTTTAGTATGGGTCAAAAGTGGTGAAAGACCCCGATCAGTTAGGATCTGAAGAGAATACATAATAGGATTGAATTTATTTAATCCCTAGTCTATATCAACTATAATCACATCTCACTTTGGGGGAAAAATGGTGTAATCCTGGCCTCTGGTTTATGCAGGGAAACAGCCACAGAGAACATGAGTAATTTTCCTGGGGGGTGGGTGGTGGAGGGTAGCAAAAGCCAAGGGCTGGTTCAGAGCTCTTCCCACCCACGTGGGATATGCCTGCTTTGAGCACAGTCATTGATGAGTAGCTTTCCCTTCGGGGCAGTGGCCCTCCGGAGACTTTCAGGCAGCAGCCTCTGGACTGTAACTGCACTGCTAAAATAAACCCAGCTAAGGACATGGGCATTGCTTCCTTCCTCAGCGATGATAATGACTGCCTGCTGTGAGAGATGCAGAGAAAACCTCAGACAGCAGGGTACAGCTCGGAAGGTACAGAGGACCTCCTTCCAATCATCCCAAAGGTGCAAAGAGAAGGAGGAGGAGGAAGGGGCCCTATGTATCTGTAACTTGCTCCCTCCTGACAAGACATTAGAAAAGACGTGGCCTTCATCAGCTTTTCATCTCTTGTTACTAGATTCAACAGGTTGACATGTGGATGAAAATGTCAAAACCAGATGGGGAAGAGAATTAAAAAAAATAAAGGAAGCCAGCCTGTCATCCAGGTTGAATGGTATGGAATCCACTCCCTGGAAGGCAATTCACATTTAAAAGATAACCACTAGCTTTTAAAAAATTGCTTTGAAGAAATCATGGGAACAGAACAAATGACTTAAGTTGGAAAACGTTCTCTATTAATTGAAGTTAATTCAATTTCAGTCTTGGGCAGCAGGCTGAAACAATCAATTTGTAGCCACTTAAGAGAGCATGAGATACTGGTAAAGAGTTTATTAGAGCACCAATTTAATTTTCCTCCATCGGGGAAGGCAGGAGATCCTCCATAATATGAAAGCAGCTTGTAGGAAAACCTATTCTGTGCCATTGGGGTGGCAGAGCACAGATCAACACCTCTAGCTATTGACTATTTCAATGATCCTATCAATGGAAAACAGTACCAGAATGGGCTTAATTGTACAAATTGTGAGAACAGAATTTACAGGGAGCACAAAAGAACAGAGAAATGGTGGGGCCCACCTGGTAGAGATTGGACTAGGTACACAATTGAGGACAGGGTACTATGAGCCTGAAGTCAAGGTGATGGCTGTGGCCAGGAGAGTTGGGGGTGGGGACATGTTCAGGGAGGCAGACAGGGAAAGAGGCAGATGACCTCACAAGTATTAACAGATGGTGGTGACTTGGAAGCCCAACACCTGAGGCAGGCAGGGCCCACCCGTCATTGACCGCGCAGAGCCAGGAGGCCTTAGTTGAGCTGTGGCTGATGAGCAGACGCAGTGTAGGTTATATCCCACCACTTTACACCACCTTGAAAGGATTGGCTGGAAAAATGAGAGGAAAAGAGACTAGAAATCAAGGCTTCAAGAAAATCTAAATGGAAATAGGCTTGTTTATGGTGAGCAAGGAGGCGGGGCTGGGGCTGAGTGACAGACTGCCCTCCTGGTGGTGGTAGCTGGAGGCCACCAGCTGACTGCCACCATTCAGAAGAAGGAAAATGAGGAAATCGGCACTTTCCACAATGTTCCTTTGGGAGAGCACACACCTGGCCCATCCTGACACCCTGTCTGAAAACCCTTAAAATAACAAGGACAGGTGATGCTCTAATTTGGTGTTGCTGATGGTTTGAAGGAATGGATTTGTTATTCCCCACAGATTTGATTTTATTTAATTCTCTTTAAGACCAGTGTTGCGCATCCTGCATATATTTTCTATCTGTGAGTAAAAGAAGACAAAACAATCCCCCCTGCATCTTACAGTGGTTTTACTCGGGTAGTAGAAAACCCCCCATTTACATGCTTGAATGAAACAGGACATCACGCCCCAATTTCCACCCTGTCACCACTAGATGGTGCTCACGTCCCAGCTCTCCGCCCCAGGGGCTCTGCCAAGGCTGTGAGGTGGAAATGCAGCCAGTCCAGACCGTTTTGGAGCTCCAGTAAATCTGCCTGAAGGAGGGCAAGCACCTGAAGACAGAAAGCCCTGACGGAGCCTTCAGCCAACCCAGTGCTGTCACAGGACAAGGTGACATCCTGGAGGCAGCTTCTACCTGGCACTCTGAGCAGGGACAGGTGGGTCCCTTGCCAACATGCAGTCCTCAGCATGCACTGCAGTAGAGGGACCCCCTGTGTGGCCTTCAGAACTGACCCACCCTTTTCCCTGTTGTGTTTTTTGGAAACCAGCCATGGGAAGGCAGCTCTTGTACTCTGGGTTGTGTTTGGGACCAGATGCCGCCATCGCCCCCAGTGACTGTGAGTGGGTGGTGCTGACATCTGGCCCCGGATTTGCTGTGCACAGCTGGTCCGGGTACCCACACGTGGTTCACCCAAAGCCACCAGAGGCTTCGGTTTGCCCTAAGCTCTCCACGTGCTATGGAGATGAGCTAAATGTGAACATGCAGGAGTGAATTTGAAAAAACACTCTTTTCCTCCAAGCCTCAGAGAAACGGTGGGTACTATGGAAACCAGCTCTTCAGTCCCAGTGAGACAGGCTTACCCCAGGCAGGTGAGTCCCCGGCTGACAGAGCATCCCAGGGAACTGCTGAGGGAGTGGTACACTTAGGAGGGATTATAAGGGGACAGATGAGCTGGGAGTTGCCCAGGTGGTGGGCAGGACTCGGGGGAGGCAGGTGGCTGCCTCCACACTGCATGGCAGGCAGTCCCTGGCTGTGCTCACTGTGAGCTGTAACCATGCAGCAGGCTGAAGCTAAGATCCCACAGCTCATAGTATAATCACTGGTACAGTTAGAATTTTCAGCAGTGAAAAAAATGGGAGAAAATCAACACCCTTATTTTCTTTCAAAAGATTGACACCTTGAAAATCTTTCTCTTGCTGAAAATAGAGACTCCCCTCTGCACAGACTCCTTACTCAACAGTGAGGTGACTCCCCTCAGAAGTGCCTGAATGGAGTCCTGAGCTTCGGGGACCCAGGTGGGGAGGCTTAGCTGAGGGCATGCGGTTCTCTCTGAGGAGCGGAATTAGATGGAACACACTGGAAGGCGGCTGGTACGCCCTGATATGGTTGACACTGAAGGTTAAACAGGAGTTGTGACGTTCGGATCTCTAGCAGGCTGACAATGGTGACAGGAAGGTAGGAACAGAGATGAATGGGCATGAGCAGAGCCGCTCATCTCATATAAACATGCAGGGCTAAGCTTCAGGGTGGAGGAGAAGGGGTATGAGGATGGATTTAGGAGATGACAGCTGCTAAACCAAAAGGGCTCTGTGTGCTGAACAAACGCTGGCCCATGACAAAAATCTCCAGCTGTTCTCCTCATGAGGGAGGAGGGGCTCCTGCCTGTGCCCCCCATTGGACTGACCCACCTCCCTGTGCCAGCAGCAAAGGCAAGACTAACCCTTGGGTTAACCCAGCTTCTTCCTCTCACAAAATGGGTCACCAAAGTTGATTTAAAGGTTCTCTCACGCCTGTTCCCTGTGAGAACCTTTCAGCTATCATAGCTATCCTCACTTTGCCGGAAGGAGAGCTGAGATGAAACGGGGTCCATAACCATAAGAGCCTCAACATCACTCAGCTGGAGAGAGACGGGTCACAAGGCTGACTCCCAGTGGGAGGGGGTCTGAGAGGAGAGGCGATGGGCCAGAGCGGCAGGGCCTCGGAAAGGCAGAGGGTGAAGGACAGTAGATAGCATGACTCTAGGATATCTTTTCTCTCACAGAGAGGGTGAGATAAGAAGATTGTAGGATCACTTAAGATCAGGTGTCTTAATGAAGAATTCTCAGAGAGGCGAGGCCACAGCTATTCCCTTCAGTCTAAAGACATAGTTTTTAGTTTTAGAGACAGTCCTCTCTAATGGTAGATTGCATGGTGGGTGAGGTAAAATCAGAATGATTTCAAAGATTATAAGACAGATTTTATTGGAGGGAAATCAGATTTCTTTGCTAGTCTAAGATGCACCTTAGACCCCCTGAGTATTGTGGCTCTTTGACTTCAGGCAAGTGCCTGAATTCTGGAGCTTCAGCTTTGCTGCCTGTGAAGGGCCTCTTCCTACCTTGCACAGTCATGAGTCTTGAACTAGAAATCTTCACCCACAGGCCAACATACACCCAGCACTGTATGGAGTACTGAGTCTGTGCTTGTGAGTACTCACAGGGGCCCATGAGGATGGAGACGTGTTTCCTGCAGAAGGTTCTGCCCCCATGGCTGTGGTACCCACACCATAGGCCCTAGCCACTGGTGGCTACATAAGTTTAAGCTAATTAAATACAAACTTCAGTTCCTTGGTCTCACCAGCTGCATTTCAAGAGCTCAGCAGCGGCCTGGTGGGTGGTGCTGCCCAGGCCTCAGCTGTGTCAGCTGTGGTGTCTCTCTTCATCCCCAGGGAGTCCCCCTTCAGAGTGGGGAATGCAATGAGTCCTCAGGGAAGGAGAGGGAGCGTTCCCTCGGAGGAGCCTTGCTGCTGAGCTGAGGGCTCCCTGTCCTTCTCAGGGGTGCAGCACTCGGATTCTGGATTTGTGAGCCCATCTTAGTCATCCCGGACCTCGTCTCAGAGCCCCATCCACTCTCCATGGAGGTTTCCCTTCTCTTGATGCTCAGAATCCTCCATCTCAAAGCAGGGATGAAGGATACACATAAAGTATTCCTTTCAGAGCCACTGTTAGAGTGATGATGTAATGAATCATTTGCATTTATGTAAATCACAGTCACATTTCAAAAAAAGAGACTCAGGCCTGCTGGAACCTGGAGAAAGGAAGGGGAGGACTAGGAGGCCAGGCTGCTGGGTCAAAGTCCGCGGGGGGTGGGTCACTCGGGTGGCGCAGAGGCAGCAAGAGGGTCTGCAAGGATTTGTAGACTGTTTATCAGGTAGACACACACAAGGCCATGCTCTGAAGAGCCAAGAACACTCTCAGGACTTAGAAGGTGACCCTTCTCTTGTGTAGAGGCTGCACATGGGGGCCTCTGGGGCCATGTGGGGAGGCTTCTTCAGGGCCTTGTGCTTCACTGTAGGTATGTCACCAGGGCTAAGGGGGATGCTTGATCGGCTGGGAAGGGCGCTGAGAGACACACACTGGTGCTTTTGATATCATATTAATTTCTTCCGTTTTCTACTTAAACAACAAAAAAGAAACTGGAGACTAGCAAAGAGCAAATGTAGTGAAGTGTGCGCAGTCCCTTGTCCTCAGGCCGCAGCCAGCTCTGTGGTCTCATGCACGTCTTTCTACTGTGTTTTGCCTTTTGGTTGCATCCATCTGCACTGGCTTCCCTTTTGGCTGTTTGAGAATCCAGGTGACAAGACTCCTCCGCACTCTCCTGGCCTGGCAGCGCAGCCGTCCCTGGAGAAGGCGTCTTTCCAGCCCTTTGGACCTCCAACCCTGTGGTTTGTCCCTGGGCCTCCTCCGCGTGGGTCTCAGGGCCTCTCGCTGGGATGTATGTAGAAGCAGCATCTGGTCCCACTTAGCCCGGACTTGCCCTCTGGGTGAATGAGCTCTTTATTGCATCACCTCAGGGGACCAGCAATTCCATCTTCCAAACATTTCAGAGCCATAAAAAGGGGAGAGGGTAAGAAAAAACCCTAATATATAAAATAAATTGTTCAGTTGGTAGGTAATTATTCGTGGATAGGAAGAAGGCTTTTAAATACAGGCATTTTAAGTACTCACTGCAGAGAAGCTCAGTATTATATAAGGAAGGCCAGAAGCAAAGTGGTTTTGTTACCATGACAGTAGGGGAAACATATAAAGAGGAGAATAGGAAACTTTGACAAAAAGCTTCAGTGTGCGGGCAGCAGCTTGGGGCTGGAGGGAACAAATCTGGGGCTACTGAGAACATCCTTTGCTAAGTGCTGTGCTTCAGGGGGTAAGACTATTTGGAGTGTCATGTGAAAATGACCCTGAGAAGGAGCGGCAGTCAGAAGTCCAAAGAACCGGGCTGCCACCATGTCTTGCCATTGAGAGTCTCCAAATTTACTCTAGAAACGATCCTGCCATGCACCCCATCCCAAGGAAGGGGTGTCCAAGCATTATTTGAATCTGAATTTCTCAAAGCGCAGTGTGGTGCTTCTGGACCAGACTCACTGGGGGAAACAGGGAAGACCCTGGTTTAAGCGCAATTTCCTGGGTCCTACCTCAGAACCATCAAATTAAAATCTCTGAGTTGCACATTTTAAATAAGCGTTCTGGGCGTTTCCAGTTGGAGGGACACCAGTAAAGGTAAAAAGAGCCAAGACCCAACCCTGAGGGCTCAAACTTAACCTCTTCTATTACTTCTTAGCAGTGGAGAAATATAGTTTTTCTCAAAATCAGAAAACTGTAGCCTTGACATCTGGCCTGTAAACATACAGTTTAAATATTCAGGTAACAGCAAAGAATCACTTGCTTTTGCACCTTGTTTCCATCTGAGGGATGTACAGAGTTAAGGCAGCCTGTGTGTTCCACTGGCTCAGCTCTGTGATTCACCCACCTTGGCACATGGGGAGCAGACGATTGCTTTGCCTGAAGACCCACGTGTTGAGCATTGCCTGCAGTCTGAAGAAGCAAAACCACTTCTTTATGCATTATTTGCAACAATTGCATTTGTTTTATCTTGGACATGTCCAGATCTGACAGAAGACAAGTCAGTTCACACATAGTCCAGGAGATGTCTATGCTGAAAACAGAGAAAGAAGCTGATGCCCACAAATTTGCTGTTGGGAGTGGATGTTGCCGAGTCTGTGCTTCCGGGAGACCTTGGCCTGCGCTGTTCTGGGTAATCACCTTCTTTTCCTGGGAGTGGTCATCTCTTTTTGGAATTCAGTAAAGTAGAGAGATGTGTTCATTTACACATCCCCTAGCCATGTCTCCTAAGGAAAGTAACTTTCAAAAATCATCCTAAAATACTCTAAAGGCAGAAGAGCAGAGTGCACGTGATAAGCGTGGGTCCGAATAGCATAACATAACAGGACAGAGCTTGAGTGTTTGAGAAGTCTGGGTTGGGTGGACAGAAGTCTCCTAGATTTGGGGAATCATACCTTTTCCAAAGATAATAATTGAGAACAAGAGCATAGAATTCATGTGTGTCCTTAAGCCTACTATCTGGGAGTTCAGCAGAGGTAGCCTGGCTTCAGCTCCAACGTGGTGGTGTATCTGAACTCTTCTGCTCCTTGGGGCAGGTCTCAACCCTCCCACTTAACAGTGGCTGCCGAATGAGGGGCTAGGATCTTCACCATCAGGAGCTGAAGTTCCTATCAGTTCTTAGTGGAAAGTCTTGGATTAAACATCACTTTTAGCTTATTTGCATAGAGATTTACATTTAAATAATTGACAGGTAAGTGCTCTGTAAACAGGTGAGAAAACCTTTCAGTAGATTTATTCCCATTCTGTAGGTAAGAAAACTAAGATGTGGACAGATGGATTTCTCCAAGGTCATTAAGAGCTAGTAAGGGGGATGAGAATTACGAGTGCAGTATCCCATCGCTTTGCGGTGTTCTTTCTGACTGGCCATCCTTCTTCTCCTGGAGGGCTTAGCTTGCCAAATTAAGGGGTTTGGGTTTGTCCCTACAGGTGATGTGGAGCTACTGATCATTTAAACAAGGGACTGGTGCTCTCATGTGTTCTTCATAGAGGTATCACTTAGATGGCTCGGAGGACTGAGTGGAGGTGGGGTGGGTGGCAATGATGCTATGCATTGCAACGTTGACTGGCAGTGGGCTGTGTCAGTTCAGGGCAGAGGAGTAGAAAGCCTCAGCTAAAGTGGGCTACAGGAGGACTATAAAAATCTCCCTGGGGAGATTTTTATGAGATGAAAATCCACAAGACAACTAAACCCCATGAGTATATGTAAGTTGTAGCAAAGGTCAGTTTAACATCATTCTTAGGTTGTGGGGCTGAAATATAGATGGTGCATCCAGTCCTGGGGAAGCTGTCCTCACTCTAGAGACATGTTGAGTTTGGAACATGAAGATGTCTAGTGGAGAGCTGATTATCCATGACCAGACCTCAGGAAGATGTCATTGCTAAGAGGACACTGTCTAGGGGTCCACACAGAGGTGGTAATGGTAGTGGGTAGTGCAGGAAGGGAAGGGCATATCCTGGGGGAATGGAAAGAGATGGGGAAGGAGTAAGGTCCAAACCCAGGGACACTGACACTGAAGACAGCTGCAGAGAATCCCATGGGGAAGTGAAAAAGAATGGTCAAGGGGTCACAAAAATCAACAGAAGATCTCACGGAAACAGATAACCAGTCAGTACTCCTGAGTATCAAACTCTCAGGCTGGGGCTACAGGTGATCAAATAGCTGGGGGGAGGCAAAGCTGCCTCCACAGAGACATCCTTTCACTCATTCATCATTGGAAGCCTTGAACCTGCTCCAAGCAGAGGAGCCGTGCATGACCCTGAATGGTGAGGAAGATGCCTGGGTGTCACCAGGTAAGAGAATTCAGCTGGGAGTCCCTCAGGCACTTACCACAATGAGCGCAACCACAGACAGTGTGTAGTAAATCGAGTCCCTCAGCAGACACCAGGAGGAAAGAGCCACAACCTGAAGGAAAAGGGGAGAAAGACTGTAAGAAACAGGATATCCAACTGTGCAAAGAGAAGAGTGTGGCTCCTGGTGGCGGATAGGGATAAATCAGAAACACAATCTTGTTACTTCTGTCTTCCATCCTGGACCCAATCAATCTGCCAGTCAATATGAATGTACTGATGGTCTTTAGGTGTATTGGTCTGGATCTTCTGAAGAGCAGATTCCAAGATGGGATTAAACTTGCAATAATTTTATTGGATGGAGACAGTCATGACAGCAAATGGGAGGGAGGGGGGCATGGTAGGATGCCACCCAACCGTGAAAGGGGTCTGACCCCTGTGAGGAGAGAGGGCAGGTTGGTGACATGACCCAGGCTGCAGGGCAGTCTGAGGAAGGTTCTGCAAAACTGAGTCAAAATCCCATGTCTCCTACGAAAGCAGCAGCCATAGCATTCCTAATGTCAAGGGGTTGGGGGGAGCAATCTTAGCCTGTGTCCTTGTAGACACTCTAATGTCTGCAGTAGCCTGTGCTCCTGTACGGAGTGACACCCTGAGCTGCACAGTGGCCGCCCTTCGAAGGTGCGTGGATGAGCCTGGTGTGAAGCTCCTGCACACCCTCCTTCCATCTGTTATATGCCAGGTCTGGTCAGGGTTTGACTTCTGGTTTAAATAGAATTTCTAAAAGATTGATTTTCATATTGACCTGGAGAAAATGTTATTTTTAGCAGTTGGGAGATTTCCCTTTAAAGGATATGGTGGTCCTGCTGAATGAGGCCCATAGAGGTATTGCTGGAAGCTAAGGCAGCCTGGCCTGCTGTGTCCAGCCTTCCTGGGCCTAGGAGCTAGGGTGGGGCATTGCATAGAGGAGAGGTTTGGCGGAGGGGAGAGAGCCACTGATGCCAGGTTAAGATCCCTGTTCTGGAGTAAGAGTCATTTCTCCTTGGTAAGTCCTTCAAAGTCTCTTTTTGAGGGACACCTGGCATTTTTTTCTGTGCTTTGCATGGGTCCATTTTGGCAGACTCACAAAGGAGCCTGGGAGAGTCCACAGTCCATATCAGAGGCACTTTCTGGGTTGTCACTCACAACTCCCTCCTGCCTCGCTAGGAAAGTGGGATCTACCCCATGACCACAGGGCATGTCTAGTTGCCTTTGCCCTTGGTCTCCTAAGTGAAAAAGGACACAGCAAACGTCAGCATTCAGCCAGGATGATGACAGGCACACGTGCACCAAAGACAATAGGGAAAAGGGATTCCCGGGACAAGGTCACCTTGGGTGCCTCCCCCTCTCTGACTGCTGTGTCAGTCTATAAAGAAAAGAACAGGCAAAGGCGAATCAGAGAAGGCTTTCTGGATTCAAATAACATGAAAGATATGACTTAAATAGAACCATAAATGAATAATGAGGCCAGTCTCTTTCCATTAACACATTCTTCCACTTGTTACAGGGACACTTAGGTATTTTCTGTTGCAATTTTGCCTTATTAGGTTTTGTATTTGCAGATCTAAGTTACAGATGGTGGGGTTGTCAGGAAGAGGACTTGTGCCACAAAAATCACTTTAGAATACATATTAAGTACTCTTTACCCTTTTATCAAGCTTTCTTTGTAATATATACTCTTAGAACTTGGGGTCCTCACTCAGCATCTATGGGATAGATTAAATGGGACTACATTATTCATTTTACAACAGGTCATAAAAGGGTGTGAGTATTTATTCAATTCATTATAATTAGGCAAGTGGACTTATTTAAAACTTGCCAAATATCAATTCTGAGTTGCCTTAAAAAATCACTTGGGCTTTTAGTTAAAGCTGGCAGATTGAACATACACCACTGCCTTTGTTTTTTCTTGTTATACCATAATCAGATAATAGTAAAGGGGTTTTAAAAAAATAAGATATAAACCTGCAAGGAAAACAGAACAGAAGAGTTCTGCTGGAAAAGCAGAACAATTGGACACTCAGGGGGTAGCGGACAAAGCTCTAGAAGAGGCCTGGAAATGGGGTGATGGGAAGATGAAGAATTTAATCACCAAGCTTCCACCTTCACTTCAAGCAGACCAGTGACTACATATCTTGCATCTTAATATGACAGGAGAGCTGGTATTTGAAGAATAGAAATCCCAGAAAACAGAAGAGAGGGTATAATCAAATGAATAATTAAAGAAAAATTTCCCAGAAGTTAAGGACATCCATTTTCTAAGTAAGAGGGCCCTCTGAGTGTCCAGCCCAATGGACAGAAAAAGATGTACAGGCATATTATCATGCATTTTCAGAATGCTGGGACCAAGAAAAGGTCCTAGAAAGGACCAGAGAGAAACAGGTTACATACAAAGGATTATGTATTAAAACCAGAGGACATTTTATTTCCCAACAAAACCACGAGAAGTGAGAAGACAATGGCATAATGCCTTCAAAATAATAGAGGAAAACAATTTCAACTTGGAATTCTATCCCTAACCAAAGGAGAATAAAAAATTAAAGTTTAATTGTCTCAGAAGTTTACTTTCTATGTACCCTTTCTCAAAAAGCTACTGGAGGATGTGCTCCACTAAAACAAGGGAGTAAACCACTTGTTACATAAAATTATGCAACAATAAACCATTACAACAAACAACCAGTATCTATATATTAATAAATCAAAGAAGTTTTCTTCACAGTGGTAAAGGGAGATTCTGGAAAAAAGGTAAAAGGTGATTCCAAAATGAAACTTTTGCAGCAAGTTTAGAGAGAAACCAAGCCAGATCACAGCAGGTCAGAAGACTCAGGAGAAATGATGCCAAAGGACAAAACTGATGGGAATCTGACAACTCTGAACCCACAGAAAGGAGATTATAGAGCTCTGAAAGAGAACAGAGAAGACTAAGCAAACAGATAATAACAACAAAGACATAAACCACAGGGAAAACACAAGAGTTGTGCATGAAAGGAAGATGAATCATTATGTATTCATGGCTCAGCTATGAAGATTGGTCACAGAGTCATTATAAACTAAGCACAGATTACTGTCTAACTAAACTATTTGGGTAGGGTGGGGGATTGGAAGCAGAGGTCCCAAGCCTCTGTCCTCATACACTGTGCCAGAGTGCCTTGCTGCAGGCAAGGATGAAAAGTAGACGCCCATTTGTGACTGTCTCCCGTGAAGATTGTCTTTTCTCCATGACTTTAAGCCATATATACAGGGATTTATATATATAAAATATAAAATATGTATATAAAATAATACACACAGTATATATAGAGATATATAATGTGTATGTAAAATGCATATAATGCATATGATGATTTTTCTTGAAGAATGGAATTTGACATTTCAGACACATGTTAAAGGACACAAATACCCTCAATTTGTGACCACTTTACCTCTTTAAAAACTAATGAAACAGAATACCATAATGGCTTCATGACATAAAACATAAAACTTTTATCATCTCAGAGAAATGTTATTTCACACACACTTCATAGAAAAGGGGATTTGAAAAATCACAAGTTTTGCTCCAAGCTTTTGAGCTGACAAATTTCTACAGCCAGTTCTCATCTCAGGGAAGACAGCAGAGCAAGGGTGGGGCTCTGGGGCACCCCCATAATCTGAGAATACCTAGCAGCACTAAAGTTCAAAACAACTGAGGGTCTTATTTGGGTTTTCCTCCCACAGGCAAGTCTTGGTACTAGTCTGTTCATCATTGAACTTCACATTTTAAATATTTCAATCTTGGGAAAAACCACTGAAACACAAATGGCTCCCATATTCTAGCATTTTACTGAAAATGGACAGTAATAATCAGACCATGTAAAAAGACAGTAATGTGCTTTTGCAGACTAATTTTCAAAAACATGGAAATGAATTAATGTTTTTAATTTTATTTTTTTCTAAGAAGTCTCATTTTGTGTTATAGGTTATGTGAGGAACACAAATGACAAGGAAATGAGCTGCTACTGGAGATTTATTTAAATAAACACAAGGCAATGTCAGGACAGTGTGGAGACAGAGTAATCTAGTGAACCCTCTTCACTGATCGTACTGAACAACAGCCATGGATGCTCATGAAGACCTGAGGGGCCTGGGACTCAGGAGTGCCTTCTTAATCACCTAAAACGTTACGTGCAGTCATTTTCATGTTAAATGTAAGTTATAGCCTGTCCTCAAAATTTGGTGGCTCAGAGTGTTCTCACACACATCAGAATTCACGGGGAGTCAGCTCTGCCTTCGGGAAGAGAATATTGGACTTGTGGTCGCAGGACTGAGGCCTGCTGTGCTCCTGGAGCCCTCTGCCCACTCTAGGGCCAGGCAGAGGGTCTGCAGGCACTGCCAGGCATTGCAGCACCTACCACTACATTTGGGAGCACTGGGTACTAACACTAAGGATGACTATGCTGCGTGAATGGGGGATATTTAGGGTCATTACATGTAACCAGATGTTAGCTTAAATTCACCCAGACATAGCCTGAGGCAAAGATTAGAGTGCACAGTTTATTTGGGAGGTGATTCTAGAAAAGATTGTTAGGGGATGGGGGGTTGGGGAAGTGAGCAGGCGATGGAAAAGACAATAAGCGAGTCAAACATGGATTTTCAACTTTGTCAGGGGGGTTGGCACCCCTAACCTCTGATTGTTCAAGTGCCAGATGTATAATAAATATCACCGGGAAATACATTAAAAATATATTTGTTAAACTGAAATTTAGCTGGGTGCCCTGTATTTTTATTTGCTAGATATGGTAACCCTACTTATTAGATTTTGGGTGTTGATTAAGGTATGTATTTTACCTTTCTTTTGATTAGTACAAAGTTGGAAGTTTACTGGTTTTGGAATAAATATTCTTAAGGCAAAGGGAAGCTGAACCTTTTCAATATAGTCTGTTTATCTCATGCTGGATATTGACTGCTACTTTATTCTGGTTGTTTGGTCTGCTTGGAGTATTTTTTTTCTTTGCTTCTTGGTAATTGCAATAGTTGCCAACATGTACATTACTTGTGTGTATGTATGTGCATGTATGTGTGTATATGTGTGTGTATGTTTGTGTGTGTGTGTGTTCCACAACACCCAGACTGTTTGCTGCTTTTGGGAAGATCTGAAAACCTGGCAGCCTGGGGGTATTCTCATGTCACTGTGGGGCAGTCAGTGCTGCCTTCTGAGGCTAGGACATACATGCTTCAGCTCGCCACAGTCCCCCAACTCCAAAGTCCAAAGTCATCTGCCACAGACTTTCCTTCTGTTATCGTCTTCTTTAGAACTGACCACTTTACTCATGTATTCTGCATATTTGAGCTCTCCGTGCAGGAAGATGCATTTGTGATCCCTGATCTAAAAGAATTATGTTAATTAGCATTGACAATGTTGAACATACCAGCTACTGTTTCTTCACGGTCCAAGATCATGCTGGGTATTCTTAAACATTTCATGCTGTGTGCCCCTTCCCACTTTATGGACCCCTTTTCAGAACTGGACATTAGAAGACATAAAAAAATAACAAAGAATCACAAAGAAAACAAATTATAGAAATCCAGTTATCAAAACATTGAGAAATGGAGATATAGTAATATATGTGTTTCTTTATTAACAAGAAACCAGTAAGTTTCCTTATAAGAGTTAGTTCTTTCAATACAGTGATAAATGAGGAGACAGATCCTAGATAACCTGTAATACCTATAATATAGCATGAAAATATCTTACAATTCTACTGAAGACAGAGTCATAGGTGCTGTTACAATGGTTTGCTGCCTCATGAATAATGAAATGAAATGAAACTGTAAGTGGTTAGTAAAAATGAAGATGGAATTGTTTCCTCATCCAAGTTCACAGACCCCTAGCCCAGTTTTTGGAAATGAAAGCCTTGGGGTTCTATTCCTTCTTAGTTCCTGGCTTTTAGTCATTTAATTAATTATCCCTCCACCAGAAAGGGGATGGGAGGTAATGTGGCTCTCAGTCCATTCTGGCTGTGCTGATAAGAACTTGGATGGAAGAAGCTGAAACTAATGGCAAAAACACTGCTTGAGGTTATCTGTAGATTTCTATTATGTGTGCTTTCTGTTTTGTCCATTATCACTGAGAGGAACTTGGCTATAGTCATACTATTTTCCAGGAAGAATTAAAGTGGCTTACAAGCATTCATTCTCCTCTCTCGGCTGACAGTGCAAAACGGGAGTCATTCCTCTGAGGGATGAAGAGATGCTCTCCACAGCTTAAAGCCCCCACCCAAGTGTGCTCTTGGGCAGCTCACTGAACTACAGCTCTCAGGCCCTGCTCCGCATGTCTTAACCAGAACTCCAGGTGACCTGTGTGCAAGTTACAGCGAGAGAAGTGCTGGCCTAGAGGACAGAGAATTCCTGAGTCTGAGTTCAACCTGTAAAATTGAAATATAAAGAGTCAGAGACTGGTGAGGGGGCCCTCGACCATCACCCTGGGCAGTGGAGTCTGGATGTGATGCAGTGGGCATAGGTAGCCACTTAGGATCATTGCACCAAAGAGCAACTGGATGTGTTTGAGCTGCAGGTGAAATGAGAAGCGCTTCATGTAAGGGGTTTCCTACTTCATCAATTTCCAGCACCAACCCTGCTTAAGATGCTGAGAGAAACTATCGTTTTTACCATCCCTTTGTAGAACCATGCCAGAAAATTCCTACTTCCTTCCAAACCCTCCTACTCCATCTACTGAAAAGACAATGTAAAGAAGAAATCCAAATCAGGGTGGTGCTGAATTTATTTTTAAAGTATACTATTTGGGTTAGCAGCTAGATACATGTAGGAGGCAATTATTTCCCAATTTTATCCATTACAAAACCTAACATGGGAATCTCAGGTTTGAGGGGTCATCATCACAGCACTAGGGTCTCTCAAATGGTGTGGGGCTTCTGGTGTTTGAAGTTAGTACATGTCATGTGAGTTCAGAAATCAGACCATGTATTTAGTTCTGAGCTCCTGGAAGTAAGACCTTGGCTGAAACTGCACACATTGTTACATTAGCATTTGGTGTCTATAATATTAGCACATGCAGAAGATCATGTTTTTCCATGCTGTCGGAAAGCCAGTAATGGAATCTTGGGTAGAGGGAACAGATAGAGGGAACCATTTCCCTCTAGTTTCTCTGAAAATTAAAACATTGAAGTTACAAAAGGGGATATAAAAGGAGGAGATCAGTTGTTTTTCAGTTGATAGACTTGGATTTAGAAGTGTCCATCTCCTGCCTGGAAGGATCCACGTTCCTCTGGCCTCATCAAGTTACAGAGGAGAGGAAACATGAATTGTGTACTTTTATAATTAAGGTATCTACATACTGTGTGACAAAGGATGGGGCTTTTTGCAATATCAGGAGCTAATTTGACTTATAAAGTGTGTTCAGAGGAAATGTGGGAGGCCACCACCTATGGCCGCTCTAGGTCAGAAAGCCAGCATCAGTCTTCTCTCAGGTGTGGGTGTGGAGACACACTCTGCTCTTAGAGCACACAGTGATATTGTCATACTAAAAAATACTGGTTGCTATGTCTGTGTGGCTCATCCAGTCCCAGTTGATCTGTCAGGCAATCTATTTTAAGTAATATCTGTGACTCAGGGCAGGTGATGCTCATGAATCAATTCTGAAGCCAGTGCAAATTGAACACAAAAACATCTCTTCAACATGTGCTTGGAAGATATCCTGATCCCTCACATTAAAGAAATTGAGAATTAAAACATGGTAACATCAATAATTCATCTTCATTTGATCTGTGCTATGCAGAGAGCTGAGGGAAGTGTGGCTGAGCAGCCAGTCACATGCACCAGCCAATGGGAACCACTCCCACAAAGGGTTGAGTAGCTTTTAGCTGAAAACATAGAGAGAGGTTATCTAAGTATTTATGTTAATTTTCAGTTTGCTAATGACCACCTAAGTGGAAAGCCATTAGTACCTTGGCTACTCAGTCAATCAGAAAGTAATTAAAGTAGAGCGTGTAAAGTACAATAAGAGAGATATGCGTTTAAACTGTGCAGAGGCTGAGCCAAGGGGTGGGCACTGGGTGAATGCAGGGAAGGGCATGGGGCCTCACCCTCTGCTGCTCCCTCTTCCCCTTCTCTCATTTTCCCCACTTTGCAGGGTCATGGTACAGCCCTGATCTTCTCCCTAGCTTCACCCTTAATGTGCTGTGTGACCAGAAGCCCGGTCCGTGTGTCTCAGTTTCCCACCTAGAAGGATAATAGTTACCCACCCCAGACCCTCAGCAATGTATAGGGATCCATGCAGAAATGTCTGAGAAGACCCTATAATTTGCAGTTGAAAGGAAAGTTGTGCATGTTTGCATTAGGAACACACAGCATCTAGAGGCAGTGGCTTTACCCAAAACACCCTATCTCATTTCTAGGAAAGAAAAGGTCTCTCTGAAAGATCTGGAGCCTTCAGGGACCAGGATTAGGCTATTTCCCAGGAGATCATGGCCTTGTGGCAGAGCATCTCCCTCTAATAACCAGCGTCTTAAATTGGTTCTTCTGTGCCAAGCACTTAACATATTTTTTTCTTCCAATCTTTTAATGTTCCTATTTTACAGATAAATCAACTAAGACTTAGAGACATATTTGCCCAAGGTTCACAGTGTGAAAGTTATTGAGCCAAATCTTAAACCAGGTCTAAATATCTGCAGAACCAACTTGGTTAGCCTTTTGCCCATGATTACTCAAATTACTTGATCATAAGACTAACTTGGGTATGTTTGATAAATACAAATTCCTGTGCTCACCCCAGATCTTCTGAATCAGACTCCCATGGAGGCTTGGTTTTCCACCTTGGCTGCCTGTTGGAATCATCTGGGAGCTTTATGAAATAGTCATGCCTGGGTCCCACCCCCAGAGATGCTCAGCCAGCTGAGCTGGGCTGTGGCTTGGCCATTGGGATTTTTCAAACATTCCCAGGTGATTCTAACATCCAGCAGGGGTTGAAACCACTGCTTCAGCCTGCTATGACCTGTTAGTCTGAGGGATATCTGGATAATTAGAAATGAGAAACTGCCCAGCATTCCCCAGTCCCACACAACACAAGACACCCTATTTATGAGATTTTGAGAAATAACGAGTTTTATGTATTCCTTATGAATACTTCAGAGTCCTTATACTAGCAGTATTGCCATCTTACTCTCTGTTTAAAAAGGTCTATTTGCATGTTTCTTTTGGATTTATAATAAATATTCACTTTGAGAGTCACATCAGTACAAACAAGAAGTGTGGAATTGCTGGGTTTGACTTTATAGCTGGAATGACTCAAAGGCTGAGGGCTGGAATCATTGGAAGGCTGTCATGATTGGTGATGATGCTCGCTGTCAAGTGGGTCTCAGTCACAACTACTAGCTGAACCCACACATGGCCTCCCCTTGTGGTTAGCACTTCCTCATTGTATGGCAGCCTCAGGGCAATAAGACAGTGTAAGTGGGGGCTCAGGGCTCCAAAGCAAGTGTCCCAAGAGAACAGGCAGAAGCCGCATGACCTTACATGACCTGTCCTCAGAGGTCATAGAGCCTTACTTCTGCTAAGACACGAGACTGATGAAATCTAATCATTGTTTGGAGCTTTTAAATTGGATAGAAATATTGTCAGGAACATATATTGGCAGGAACATTTTAATATATTTTCCTTCAAATGAAACAGTTAAAATAATAAATGTTTAATCAAAATTTCTAAGGCTG